ACGAAAATCATCTTCTTATATAAACTGCAGATTTTACAGATTCTTGTAACGAGAAATCTGGGTCTGGGTTGATTTTTGTCACACCAGTCAACCCATTTCAAGACTCAATTAAAGGTTCCTGTTTTTTTTTTGTTTTGTTAATGATTGATTATTGGGTTTTATAGGCTGGATTCAGAAAAAAAAAAGTTAGGCTTTTGGGTTGTATGTATAGTTGTAAAATGGAAATTGAGTTCCTTTGAAGTTGCATCTATCAATTTCCTCTTGATTTTTGTTTTCCTGGCCTTGAGAGTCGTTGAAAACTCGATGCTTTAGAAGAGACTTCAAGTTTGATGTGATCGAGCTCTGTTACTATAGCTTTAACTGAAATCCTCTGTATTATATGTTGTTTCAGATTGTACAAATGATGCTTGTTCCAGTTTTTTTTTTTTTAATGAATTCAGCTGATTCTCTTATTGAACTTTGTTGTTCGTTTGGTGAAATGAAATGGCTCTTCTTAGCTTCCATGTTTAGTGATCTTTGTTTCTCTTTTCTTTCTATTCAATAGGTTTCTTGTAAATTTGGTGGAAATGGCGGCATTATTAGCTTCTCAGAGCTGTTGCTATGGCAGTGAAACGGCAAGAACCGCCAAAGGTATTAGTTTCAGTAGCTCTCTGGAGAATCATTTCACTACGGAAGCCACTCAGTGTTTTGGCAGAAAGTCGAAGAGTTTTCGTATTGAGATGAGACAATCGGAATCACCTTCCAAGCCTGGAATCAATGGACGTTCAGTCAAAATGGTTCCGGCTAGTGAGGTGGTGAAAAGGAAAGATGGTGTGAATAATGTTAAGAAAGTGAATGGATCGGCGCAGAAAGTTGTGAATGGAGCGAGTTTGGTCAGTAGTAGAAACATTAATGGTGCGTCGTCAACTTTAGTCAATGCACCAAAGAAGAAACCAGAATCTTATCTTCCTCCACCGGTTGAAGGAGTTAGGGTTCTTCCTTCTGATGAAGGTTTTAGCTGGGCTGATGAGAACTATAACTCACTTCAACGGAGTATTGATGTTTGGTCGTTTGTTATTTCCCTGAGGATTCGTGTCTTGTTCGACAATGCGAAATGGGCTTACGTTGGAGGGTTCACAGAAGAAAAACAGGTATGAAACCTTTCATCATTATAATCTCATTGATTGATTCACTGGTCCACTTACTGGTTATGTTGGTCTTGGCTCTTATGAGTTTTACCTGTTGTTATATAATCAGAAAAGCCGAAGAAGAGAAACAGCTTCTTGGTTGAGAGAGAGTGTATTGCAGCTTGGTCCGACGTTCATCAAACTGGGACAGTTGTCTTCGACTCGGTCGGATTTGTTTCCACGCGAATTCGTGGATGAGCTTTCAAAGTTGCAGGTACATTGTCCTTTCTTTTCATGTTTTTCAATCTAAGCATAAGTTTAGATTCTCTTTGGGTTTTCTTACTCTTCTTTTTAACTGGTTTCAGGACAGAGTCCCGGCTTTTTCTCCAGAGAAAGCAAAGCGCTTCATCGAGACCGAACTTGGGGCTCCTATTAGTGTAATGTTTAAAGAATTGGAAGAGCAACCCATAGCTGCAGCTAGCCTTGGCCAGGTATGCGATACTTCGCTACCTTTGAACACACTTACTTATCTTTTTTTTTTGCATTTCATCTACATATTGATGTTTGTATTTTAATTTGTTAAAGTGTATTTCTTTAGGTACACAGAGCTGTGTTGCACAATGGCGAGAAAGTCGTAGTAAAAGTTCAAAGACCCGGACTCAAGAAACTTTTCGATATTGATCTACGTATGTAACAACTGCTGGGTTATATAATACAATTTCGGGTGCTTGAGATCTGCTGAAAATGCCTTACTTTCTTCTTATCAGGAAATTTGAAGCTGATTGCTGAATATTTCCAGAAAAGTGAATCATTTGGTACAAACGATTGGGTTGGTATTTACGAAGAATGTGCAACGTAAGTATTTTTTTTGAAGGAAGTGTTCCTAACTTAATTCCTAGCAACATGTGGTTCTAAATCATGTAGGATTGATCTTCCCTTTGGTTTCAGGATTTTGTATCAAGAGATTGACTACATAAATGAAGCTAAGAATGCCGACAGATTCCGGAGAGACTTCCGGAATATAAGCTGGGTCCGCGTACCTGTAAGTTTCATTTGCTAACCGAAACCTTGAAATCAAGTTCTTGTATAACCATGGAGCATATGAAACTCATTCTGGTTATCTTATTTGTAGTTGGTCTATTGGGATTACTCTGCCATGAAGGTGTTGACTTTAGAATATGTACCAGGTTCGTGTTGAAACTGCCCAATATATTGGTTCGATTGATTGAAAATGTAGTGGTATAAACTCTCTAATCGATTGTTGCAATTAGGTGTCAAGATCAACAAGTTAGACGCCTTAGCTGCACGGGGTTATAACCGTTCAAGAATCGCATCACGGGCCATTGAAGCTTATCTTATCCAGGTCAATAACAATATAGCAAAACTGTCATTCAAGTCCACGTCTTTTTCTTTTTGGTTTGAAACTTATGTTTATGTTTTGGCTGTTTTAGATACTCAAAACCGGCTTCTTTCACGCGGATCCACACCCAGGAAATCTTGCAATTGATGTAGATGAATCAATCATCTACTATGACTTTGGCATGATGGGAGAGATAAAAACATTCACTCGGAAGAGATTGCTTGATCTCTTCTATTCTGTATATGAAAAAGATGCAAAAAAGGTATTGTTTTTCTTTCACGGGTTAAACCTCAAACTGAGAGAGACAAGAAAACTAACCAAATGTTCTTACAGGTCATGCAAAACCTTATAGATCTTGAAGCACTTCAACCCACCGGAGATCTTTCATCGGTAACCTTATAGTCTCACTCTTTCTCTATGCAAAGTTCACATGTGTAATCTCATTGCAACTTTGTTCATGTTTGTGATAGGTAAGAAGATCTGTTCAGTTTTTCTTGGACAACCTATTAAGCCAAACACCTGATCAACAACAGACTTTGGCAGCTATTGGAGAGGTACTGATCAGAACTGTGCCAGAAAAAGAAACTGAGCTCTTTCTCAAACTCTTTGTGGTAGTTATTATGTGATACTTAAACTAATAACTTCCACATTTCTATGGCAGGATCTGTTTGCAATTTCCCAGGATCAGCCATTCCGTTTCCCATCAACTTTCACCTTTGTCATCCGAGCATTTTCCACACTCGAGGGTACCTATTCAGTCTCTTCTCTCTATACATAAAACTTATAATAGAAATCTATCAATTTATGATAGAATTCTACCTTATCATACATAGAAATCTATCAACATATGGTAGAATTCTATCATACATAGAAATCTTCTATCATATGTTGATAGATTTCTATGCATGATAAGGTAGAATTCTATCATAAATTGATAGATTTCTATGCATCTAATATATACATAGAATTCTATCTAATTATTCATAGAATTCTATCCAATCATACATAGAAATCTATCAACATATGATAGAATTTTATCGAATCATACATAGAAATCTATCAACATATGATAGAATTCTATCTAATCGTACATAGAAATCTATCAACATAGATAGAATTCTATCTAAGTGCATACAATTCTATCAATAATATAAAATTCTTTTTGTCGAAATCTTCCAGACGTCTCAGCATTTATGCTATATGGTTTTGCAGGTATTGGTTATATCCTTGATCCAGATTTTTCCTTTGTGAAGGTTGCAGCTCCCTATGCGCAGGTTCTTACCTTTTTCTCCACTCAGAAGCCAAAACTAAAACAATCTTCTCTCTACTCTGCTGTATCATTGTATAAATGCTCCTGAACATCGATGAAAACAGGAACTCCTGGATTTAAAACAAAGACAGCGCTCGGGAACTCAGCTTGTCCAAGAAATAAGGAAGCAGGCGGATGATGTAATGCTCTGTCTCTCGTATAATATTTCCTTCTCTCTCTTTTAGTTCTGTTTGTACTAAATACAAGTTGAAAACCTGTGCAGGCTAGATCTTCTACTCTGTCCATGCCATATCGAGTGCAGCGAATAGAAGAGTTTGTGAAAGAACTCGATTCAGGCGATCTAAAACTCCGTGTTCGAGTTCTTGAGGTAAATACATACAAATTACTGAGCATTGTCCAACAATCACAAGAGGGACACACTAGAATTTCTTTTCTTTTTTTGTATTCAGTCGGAAAGAGCAGCCCGGAAAGCGACAATATTGCAGATGGCCACAATGTATACAGTTCTTGGAGGAACTCTGCTTAATATTGGGGTTACATTTAGCAACCAAGGAAATCAGCTTGTTGCTAATGGATCCTTCGTTGGAGCAGGTATGAAAAACCGTTGTACATGCATGCTTATAGGTGTATATGCAAGTATATTTCCGGTTTTTTCTTAATGAATTGGGTTTAAATGTTTTTTTGGTTTTTCTGCAGCGATATTCATGGCATTGGTAGTGAGATCTATGCAAAGGGTAAATAAGCTGGATAAGTT